TACGCTTTCTTGCCCGACATATGAACTGTGGGTTTAGTCCAGACATCCAGGCACAAAACTTGATTTTAACACTTCTTTTACCTGCCACCTTCTATCGTCTGGTCCGATTAAGCGGAATTCTGGTCCTAATAAGCGGGCAAAAATTAGGCTAGCGTAATAGAATTCGTTTCCGTTCCTCAGAATTTGGCCCGAATAAGCGGCTGGTCCTATTAACCGGTGGTCCTATTAACCGGAATCGACTATATATATATATATATATATATATATATATATATATATATATATATATATATATATATATATATATATATATTACACAATTCATGGTACAGATTTGGTGCCACCGGAATCATGGCGGAATAGGAAAACGATAGCCAGCTGTTGGTGAGGGCAGGTTGTAAACATAAGGTGTAGGAGCCTTGACCTTGAATGTCTGCTTAGGTAAGTTATCTCTCCCACTTATTACTCTTTTTTCATGGTTGTGTGACAGCAAAGCATCGGTTCAAATGGATGATGTACCGCTGTTGTTGATCATGATAAGAAGAAAAAACGAACAAAAGATGCATTTTTGGTCCAGTTTGCCACGCAGGTTTGCATTTTGTAGTTCGCTTTTTCGGGTGAGGAAGGGGGTCACCACAGCACACCGATGCATAACATCCGCTACTGACGTGGATCTTGAAGCATGGCTTCCAAGGCCTCTAAGCAGCAAGTATTCGTATTTCTCGGACCCCAACAACCTGCCAAGGCCAACTGTTTCGTCAGCCTTTATTGCAGATTCTCCAAGTTGTACGCTGTATACCAGACGGTCTCTCCCAGCCCAGTGCAGCAACCGCAAACAACGCAGGATGCGAGTAACGCTGAACAGACATGCACCATACGTGTCCGAGTTACCGTAGTTGATGCAGTGAGAGGAGCTAATCGAGCAAGTGGTTTCTTCTTCCCAAGCCGAGCTGTTTAAGTTCCACACTGCTTAAGTGGTGCAGCCACCACACACGGGCAATGGATTGCAGACAGCAGTGTTCGAAGATGGATAGTAAACGGCAACTAAACGGTACGTATGGTCCAGAGCTCACATCCGTACAGCACGAACAGTTGCACAATAGACCCACCCTTTGATGGGGAGACGAATGTTGTGGCGAAGCCACAAATGCCTCAGCCTAGAAAAAGCGAGGCCTGCGCTTAAGTTGCGCACCGTAATCTCGTCTACAACAGAGCCGTCAGCAGTGGTGTAATTTCCCAAGTAGACAAAACTCTCCACAACCTCCAGTGTTTCACCACCAAGAGTGAGTGCAGGCATAGGCACCTGCCTGCGAAGGCGGGCAGCGGCGGACCGTCATGAATTACAAGCTAACTGCGACTCATCCTTCACTGCCATATCAGTTACATGTAAGTTACTTAAGTTGCAGAGGACAGGGTTGGCTCCGAAAGTCACGACTTACACTGACAGCAGAAATATATAACAGCATTTAGAAGTGGTTAATGAGGATATTTTAGTAAACTCATGAGTAATTTTGATGCAAATAACTGGAGGTTCATCGTAACAGCTTTTAGATCAGTTCTTCACATGTCGTGGAAGGCACTAGACGGTCGTTTCATCCAACGGAAACTTGTCAGCAGTGCACACCCATTGGATCCATGCTGTCGTACACAGTTGTTAGTGTATGTCGTGACTTTCAGGGCCAACCCCGTCATCATAGTGGTTGGCGCTAATGAGCGCCAAATTCCCGGAGAACAGACCTGGTTCCTTCGAAATAGGAACTGCTATGATAACGTCATCACGTTATTTCAGTTTGCAATGATTCGGAATACCTGTAGTTCGGGTTGGTAGTTAACGTTTTGATTCGTTCTCCGAGCTGAGTAATTTAATGTCAAACGTTTCACCACTTCCCTCAGTGGCATCTTCAGTGGACGGCTAAGTATCAAACAAACAGAGGTCACGGGACACAGATCGACGAGGGTAATTTCAAACGCTACGTCCCAACGACATTTTCCGTGAGACTTCCCCTACGGAGCTGTACACTGAAGATGCCACTGAGGGAAGTGGTGAAACGTTTGACATTAAATTACCCAGCTCGGAGAACGAATCAAAACGTTATTTCAGTTGTTGGACCACCGCCACATATATTGCTGACTCACCCTGCTCGTGTTCCTCAATATCAAACGGGATTTCTGTACGGTTTATCGATGTGATCTTTGGAGCTGTCTGAGTAGGAAAAGTGCCCAAGAAATACCCAAGTACTATCAGATGGCTTTAAGCGTGTCATTCGGGTAGAGAAATGGCTTACAGAAAACTGTCGCAACCAATCTATATCTCTGGCGATGTGAGACAAGGATGCCCGATGTCATTCCCCATTAACAACTTAGTCATTGACAAATTTATTGAAACTGCGCTCACTGCGTTTGATTTAAGAAGCACACAGCTAATTGCTACACTTGGAACGGAACGACAATAGTGCCCTAATTTGGGACATCTCTCAAGTAGTGCTATATAAATAATCATGACTGTCAACCGTTTCGTGCGATGTTTTACACCCTCCAAATGCAAAGCTTTAGGACCGGCATGGACCACAGCATGCATGGACTCATGCTGGTGATAGGCCAAAAGTTGTTCAGGAATTCGGCTACCTAAGCAGTTGTATCAGCATTGTGTAATAGAATAGGTGATGAATGGTATATCAAAAAATACAGGCGCTTTTGCTCAACTAGCCGGCCCGTAGCCTAAAATGCGTCAGCTGTACGCCGTAACGGTGCATCGCTGCCGCGCGGCCAGAGTATATCGCGAGGACGCCTACCCCTACGCGGATTCGAACCGGTGACCTTTTGATTTCAAACCAGGCGTGCTGACCACTCGGTCAACGGCCAACCCGCAGCCGAAAGGTAACAAGCTTGCCTTGTAATTTGACGGCGCGGGTTCGAGCCTGCGTAGGGGCAGAGCGACCCTCGCAGTATCCTTAGCCCACGTGCAACCGATGGTGGATGCGTGGCAGCGAAGCGTCGGTACTGCGTACCACTGATGCCTTTCCCTCAACTTCGCGTCTATGGAGTCAGTACGACATCGCTCTCGCCTTGAATGGTAGAGTTTACAACGAAACCTTCCGTTCAACGGTGTCGTACTACTGCGCAAACCAACTCAGCAGATAGACAAGCACAAAGAAAGTAGTCGTGTTTAACCACGGGTGCACTCGTAGGTTTAGTCAAGTAGAATGAAAAATCCGCCTGAGAAGTACGTGTTTGGCAAAGTATATATGATGAAGAGCAAATGAACCGCTTAGCATTTATATTTAATGTCCTAGACTCGGACAGCTAGGCCACTGTTACGCATGAGCGACCAGGATGGGAAGGAAAAAAGAACAGGAGGCCAGTCGATTGTTTGGTTAATAGGAATGGAAGCTGACGTCGAACCTGGCCTCGGCTGGTGTCCGAAGACGGTGAATACTTCTAATTGGGAACACTTATTGGCATGGTAAAGAGCCGAGCTCAGTAACGTTCGTGTTGTGATTTCTCCCCTCCTTTTGACATCCTACAACAATCTTATTTTTGAGGAACAAAAAGACAAGGCACAAGATTGAGTGTCATTGTATAACCATTTAAGTAGGCTGTACTGGGGCCCAATAGCTAGTGTTTTCCTCCCCTAGCTAACAGGTGGAATGAGGGTGACTTCATCATAAAGCAACAAAAAAGCGGGAATTTCGCCAGATACACATGTTAAGCCCAATGCGACAACGTCAGTTCGCGTATGATCTAATTAACGGTGGAAGGTGCGAACCTAGCGTGCCAGTTAGGTACATGTGAGTCAGCATCATTTGCTGACGACAGAAAGCGGATAAACTGCTCATGAAGCGCGAAAAACGTCCAGGTCGATGGAATTTGATAATGTATAAGCACCACGGCACTGGGAAATTCTCTCCACACACAAAGCTCCAATCACAATGTGAATATAAGACACAGTTTTGCAGCATATACGTTAACGTCACGGATACTGGAGCTCTTCGGACGAAAAGCTAGGTAACAATCAGGCCCGTGTCATACACAAGGAGGGAAGGACAAAAAGTTCGTGTGCACAATGCAAAATGCTACCGAGAGTTGGCTGGAGCATGCTCACAGATAAAGAAAAACGGACAGTAATAAGATAGGTAAACACTTGCAATTTCTTAGACCTAGAGAAGCCATGTTTAGCCAATTTATTCGCATATACTCTCAGCGAAAATAAGCTCCGGATAGAAATGCAAGTACAGGACGTTTGTTAGGCGCCACAAAGCTACTGAGCACGAGAAAACACGTGCGAGAGACGTAGCAATGATGCATGAGTGGTGGTCAGTGGATGAGAAAGACAAACGATGTGGGGTGAGACATGGGGAAGGATTAGTTGTCAAGTCAAGCCAAGTCAAGGTAAGTTCTATGGACCCGGATGGGTGCATTTTCAGCACTTTAATGTCATCTGCGAATGAAGCAAAATGACAGCAACAAAATTGCAAAATTGAATAAATGGATAAACAAAAAGGAAGAATGCAGTGACGTCATGCGAGTAAAAAGATCCACATTTTTGGGCACCAAGCGCAAATCAATTAGCAGAATCCTCGGGTTATTTTCATCGGAGAGAGTAGTTTTATGAAGAAATGTCTTTAGAATTGGCTTCAACTGGACTAAACGTTGGTGGCTTAAAGCAAAAATCGCGAACAGTGCGCGGTATCACGATTTGGTATTAAAATGTGGAGAGCAAGACGGTCTCGGTGACCTTGGAAGCACTTCGGACAAAAGAGATGTCAAATTATTCCATTAAAACTTAGATATTCGCAGTAGATAATGTAAAAATGATATTCGATGAAGAGACAATGGTCGATTTATAGGCCCCACTAATGGGTTGACGAATAACAGCGAGAAACAGCCGTGTGCTCGACAATCACTTTCGGCAGTACGAGTTTCCAGTGCAAATGACATTCATATGGTGCCGAGGAACACTGTGATATTAGGCGCACAGGATATGGAACAAGGAGGCTTACTTTGAACTTTTGCAAATTTGCTTTCCGCTCGCCTGGATTCCTATCGCTGTGAAGACACACGCAGCTAAACATGGATTCTCGTCGGTTCGGGCCTGAGGGAGACGGGACCAAACGGGGTTGAGAGGCGGAGTTATGAGCTTAGTTGAAATGTGCATAAGTGGTACAGTATTATTATCGTGACGCATAACTATAGGAAATGTAACATACTTTGGTGAAGTGCAACCGGTGATGCAACCGCGAAAGTGCGGTGCATACAGTCACCTTGGCTCAGATTAACACGAGTGCAAAATCAGCAACAGAGAACAAGACACATGACAACAGAACTCGGATGAGGTTTCGGACCACTCGCATAAGTGGTGTCGAGAGTTCCACTCAAGAAGACGGCATCAACCTAAGTAAGGCTGTCGTTTGATTTTCGATGTCATCCACTGGCTACTCTAAGGACTCGCTCGACCAGTAAATTGCCGATAAACTACACAGACCGAGCTAGTTGGCAGGTGGGTGGGTGCCACAATGCGTGCGGCTGAAGTAAAACACCAATCCGGTGTGTCACCAGATGATAAGGGGGGGAAATGCATGTGTCCGGCTTCAGCATCGTCCATTGGGTGGACTACCAGGTGAATGAGTAAAGATTCGCACGTGCAACATAGGGCCAAACACAGGTACTCATCTTTTGACTCAATAGCTGAAAATTCAGTCTTTCCGAGTGTCTGATATGAACTCACAGCGACCGTGTGCGTCGTAGATACGGCAATAAGGACTAAATAACCAAAATACAGTCATATATATGTTGGGGCGAGATGCTTCGATAAACTTCAGTTTTTAAAGAAACTCAGCCTTGTACACGAACAGGGTAGACTTAGAGAGCAAGTTGGGTTCCGCTCACATCACATCTTTACGCACCGCCAAATACTCGAGAGTCGTCAAACATTTGGTCGGGCAACGAACGTTGTCTTCTTAGACATAGGAGTCGCGTTTGGCTCAGTTGACCGAGCTGCTCTCTGGAGTTGTCTACTGAGAAGGGGAGTACCCGAGAAATATGTCATCATTCTTCACGCCATTTACTCTCAAACCTCGAACCGAGTGCGGTTGTACGGTGGACTTCCTCCTCCCCCTTTTAGTATCATCAATAGTGTGAGGCAGGGTTGCCCAGCATCCCCTTTCTTGTACAATTTCGTTATGGATGAAATCCTGCAGTGCTATGGAAAGCTAAGAACCCAGCGGCGTTGGGCTACTTCCGGGGAGCCAACTACGGGATTTGGAGTATGCAGACAACATCGCCGTAATCTGCGATTCTTCACAGACCGCCCGAAATGTCCTATGTACGTTGGAATGACCGCATCATCCAAGCGCAAGGTCTTCCTGCAGGACTGGATAGGCGCTGCTCCTATCCATCCCATTACAGGTCATTCGTTGAAAGTGGCAGACAAGTTCCTTTGCCTTGGAAGCCACCTCAGCGACAACGGTTTAACGGTTGAGGTCTCTTTGTGCATCTCCAAAGCTCGGGTTGATTTTTCTTATCTCCGCCATCTCTGACGTCGAGGCAATCTGAATCTACCTTTGAACGGGCGAGTTTACAGTGCCACAGTGAGAGCGGTTCTTCTCTAAGCCTATGAGACGACCTGTTCGTGCAAAGGATGTTGTAAGGTTGTCTGTTTTTGATCATCGCTGCCTTCGAAGCATTGCTGGTGTAACATGGCAAAATCACATTAGTAATGCGGATGTTCGACGGAGGATTTTCAGATCAGACAGACTTTGTTGGTCACTGAGTAGCACAATTGCACTGCGCAGACTTCGGTGGCTTGGGCATGTGCTTTGCATTCCTACTCATCATGTACCTCTTGACTTACTGGTTGGGGGCGCAAGGAACACGAACATACATGTCTGGAAACCCTCCAGGATATAGCAAGGAACCGTGCACGATGGAGGATTTGTTGGGATGCCCTGTTCTCATGAACACTGTTTTTCATTCTTTTTCTCTCGCTTCGTTTGTTTATTGTATTTCCCATGCGTTATGGCACTATCCCATTTGTACCATTGGCCTTGTTGTTGTTGAAATGGTTTCAAGCACGTACAATTATTAATGTCAGCCATTTTAGCCGAGCAGAGCTGATGGATCGCGCTTAACCGGGGCGATAGTTAAGTACCAGGAGGTTGGTTGAATTCACGGCTACTTTGAGTCCACCGCCAGCTACCAGTGAGAATACGGCCAAGCTCCTTTTGCTCGTGCACTGCTATCTGGCCCCAGGTAAATGCGATACAGTAAAGTCACAGCAAGCTGGAAGTAGTTGATGGTGCAAACCCACAAGTAATTCACAGCGCAGCGGAAAGATAGATCGAAAAGGTGCTTCTTCGCATTCAACCTTGTAATGACTGAAAGCAGTGAAAAGTACTCCACCAGGCTAACGGCCTCCATTGGCTATCCAGTTAATTGTGGTGTTTATAAGCCACATGAAACTCGTAGATGCGCGCGGTAGTTTCCCTAATAGTTCGTCCACAAGAGGGTATGCGACGAACTAGAGAAGTAAATTACTCTACTAATTCGAATGGCCGCGGTCGCACATTGAATTAAGAAGGTGCGAAGCTCTAGACAACGTAATGGGCGCCCAGTGCAAGCCTATTGAGCAGTTCACGTAGAGATGATATATGACCCGAATAGAGTAACATCATCCTTATGTTGTAAAATTATCAACAGGATAACCAGCAAGATGCCGACTCCAAATGCACCTAGTAGGACGGCGTCATGCATGGACATATCGAACAAACAGTGCAAGAATGAAGAAGGGGAAGTAGGGAAGCCCTAAGGCAGCCTAAACACAGAAAAACAGGAGGTAGTTCCCCTTACATCTGCACGCGTCTATGTGAATCAAAATCAACTCTGATATGTTATTCCACGATTGGGAACGCCACTGCATTCGGTTTCCTGCATCTGGTCGTTAATTGTCCTTCCATTCTGATTAGTCTAACACACCTTGCTTCCAGTCCCCTTAGATTATATTTGCATTTAAGTCCACTCTACATTGCCGTTGTAATTTATGATTATTTTTGCGTTGAGTTGTGGCAACAGGATCCACCGCAGTTCCGCGCTCAGATTATAGGTGTTCAACTGAATTAAACTGAACGAAGACGCCACAAATGAGTGAAGGACGATTGGAGAAAGGCCACTATTGGCCACAGTGTCCGCTTGAAGGTAAGTAGAACAATGATGGAACGCAAGACGAAAACAGGAATGTGAAATGTAGACAATGTGGAAACCCGCTTCTGGAGTATTATGCACACAAGTGGCTACGGAGCGATCTGCAACTGCCTATCTAAAAGCGCCTCAACTGCACTTCGGATAGTGTTGAATGGAGCAGTCAGACTAATAACATGCGGTGCAGAAGTCAGCTCGCACCGAGCAAGCAAGAGTGGTACATTATTGTCACCGGTTGGAAGGTAATCTGTCGGAAATGGAGATGCCACAAAAAACTCACCATACCGAAGACTGCGCAAGCACTGTCCGCTATTACAAACTTCATTTAACGATATCAGGATAACCAATAAGATTAACGATGCCAAATGAATCAAATCAACATAAAAGGTTTCACGAACGCAAATCCCGGTTGGTACCAACGTATGTACCTGCCAGTGTAAAAAAAGCAAACCTGTCTGGGTAGCTGATAATGCAAACGGACCACAAAGAATGCAAAGAAGGTGATGCCTTGAAAGTCGGTGCGGAGTGACGTAACAGACTCTACTGCAAATTCAGAGAAAGTGTGGATACCTCCGCCTCGAGCAATGAAAAACTGCTCCAGATTATCACAGTCCAACTTGGTGCGGCAAAATATCAGAGCCCGATCCATCTTTTGTTGCTGGATTGCACGGCAAACGTATTCTCCCTTGAGTAGTTTCACAGCCTCGGACAACGTTTCTACAAGTTGGGAAAATTAAGTTTTTGAGAAGACACGAGTCACCTGCAGACGGATCGTTTGGGTGACATCCATCCTTTAAATGGACCCCGTCTGTTTGAATGTGATTCCGGTTGCTCTGCAACATCCCTTTCCATGACTGATCCGCGTGGGGGTCAACGCGACAGACCTGAGAGGAGCGACCAAGTTGCAGAAAGGTCAACAATAATTAATCATAACGAGAGAAGCAAAGAAACAGGCTGTTTAAGGAAAGCTAAGTGAGTGAGTGTCTGTAAGATTGAAAATGTCTCAGTACCGAAGAGATTCGCGTGGTGGCAAGTCCGAAGGTCGAGGAAACTAAGGAAGGTTGAGTAAATCCGTGTTTAGGAATATTTGTGGATGGATAAAAAGATAATTTGAATATTTCAGTCTAAAAACCCCGTCTGGCTTCATGAATGAACGAAGTGGACATACCGAAGACCACAATGAACGGTAGAAGGCCGAATGATAATAGGAAATCAGCCCGTTAATCAAAAGAGTTGTTTGAAATTGAGACTGGTTACGAAGAACTGTCCGGGACGCATTAAAATGGAGACAATTGTGTTAAAGAACATCAAATGTGAGGTTGGGAACAGAGTTGCCAAACCTTACAACAAAGGCTGGCTTGCCGAACAAACTCCTAGTGGTGCCAGCTGGGTGGTTCGGGATATTCCCGTTCCAGAAAATAATTCGACGGCAGTGTTCCAAGGCGTGGTGGGTTTTCGCCTGGCAAACGTTCTCCCTATAAAAAGCCACATATGTCCATGTAACAACACTGTGACGTGGCGGACGTGACTCGCCACTAAATAAAATCACTGCCCCTTGCTTCATCCTGGCGAAGCATTGTATTCCAGCAACTTTGTGCTGTAATTCTAGGGAGCATTGGGCCCCTGTATGACAAAGGAACAAACGAAAGGCGTATGAACTGAGCAATCAGACACCGGCTCCCAATGGGCGCGATTCCCTGAATTCGCACCGCTGCCTTGCGGGCAGGCTATTCATCCAAAGGCTCGGGGTGGTGTCCCCTAAGTTAACACCTTACTTCGGCTTGGTCAACCGGGTAGTATCTCGCCCTCTGACGAAACCATGGACTTCGATGTTTGGTGTTGTTCTTTTTACTATTCCTGTATCTTGTTTTGAGTCCCATGGTTTCTGATGGTTTTATATATATATATATATATATATATATATATATATATATATATATATATATAAACACGTTAGGGACAAGTACACGAAAGAGGGGCAAAACCAGTGCGCAGTGGCAGCATCAATGAGGCCACTGCAACGACAATCTAATGTGATTCACAAGAGCGGCTCGGGAGAGAATTGTCCATACAGGTCATCTGACATCCGAGGGTGGAAAAAACTACAGGAGTGACGCAGGTTGCAGCTATTGAGAAAGCAAGCATACATGCATTCAACGAACAGCGTTAAACCTCAGACATCAAATCACAACGGTAACACTCGCAGTGGCGCATACCAAACAATGCGGAAGAAGATGGGTGAAAAAGTACAACAAACGGGAGTTGCATGAAGGCATAACGCACATGCACATACCACGTGGTGCACTGTCTCCGGCACGCTGTCCTGTCCTTTCAAATCGATCCACACAGGGAAATGCATAAGCTTGTTCTGCAAAAAGAGTACGAAGTGTACGGAGAACTAAGGATAGATGCGCACAAAACTAGCCGAGTGAAAAAGCATGACTGCATTCTTTGTAAAAAGGAAACTAAGCAACCATACTAAAAAGGACAACGTGAAGGCAGGAGGAACAGCGACGGCACAACAGCAGATTATATTGACGCTTTGCTGCCAAGCTACTATAAGTAGCTGCGTACGGATTGAAGTATCGCAGGAGTGCCCAAATGTATGCAAAGGAGCAGAGACGCCAATCCGGATGTAGGCGTTGCAAATCTCTAGCAACTGAACCAATGGTAGTCGAAATGCAATCACCAACCGAGTTCCAGTGCGTCCGAAAAGTGTCAACAGTATGAATGTATTAAAATTTGAAGGACAGAACGTTTTCTTATAGCTTACAATGCAGTACAAAATATAAAGTGTCCGGTAGAAATTGGCAAAACGGACAACCTAAAGAGCAGATGAGGAACAGATAAACCGAACAAAAGTGCCTGAAATGCGAATGTATTATCATCAACATCGCCAGTATACCTTAGTCGAGGGTGAGAAACCCCAACTAATGTGCCGCAGTACAAAAAGTGGTAGGAGATTAAATGTCACAAAGCACAAAATCAAAAAAAGCTAACATAGTGTTAAAATCACATTATGCATTGGGTTTGAGACGGTTGTTGCAGGAGACAACTAAAGGGGAGGAGAGGGACAAAGAGGTCCACAACACAGACGCCATTGAGATTGGCTGATCTCCATGTATCCAACCAAACGTGTTCATCGTTCTTCGGACCCAAGCCCGGCAGTCAGGAAACACTAACCGACGCCAAGTTAGAAGTGAGGGAGCATTCTTCCTGACAAAGTCATCGCGAACGTGTCCGTCATGTAAAGAAATAAAACCACTAAAGTATGTGTCCGCTTGTAGCCTAGAGGTAACGAGCTTATCTCGTAATCTTGCGTCGCGGGTTCGAAACCACGTAGGGTTGGGCATCCTCGCGGTATACTCAGCCTGCGTGTGACTGGTGGTGGTTGCACGGCAGCGAAGCGTAGTAACGGTGTGCAGCTGACACTTTATTATTATTATTAATATTTATTATTATTATTATTTACTAAAGTATATGTTGTCTGCTGCGTACAAGAGATAATATATCGCTTTTTAGATGCGTGATGTTTAAAAAATACTCCCAATATACGGACGACCAAACACGACCGCAGTATCGGACGACCAAAGGATGCACTATTGTCTTGCAAGCATCAAGAAAATGAACACTACGTGGGTAAGTTGGTGAAGATGTTGACATATATACAAAAGGAGCTAAGAGCAGAAAAGCACCGGGATGGTGTAAGGATAAAAAAAAACTTACAGCTAACTTTTTCACCTCGAAGGAGTGCAGTGTGGCAGAACAAACGACCATCTGTAGCCGATTGCCATCCGGAGTAACTTTCGGAATCTTGCTATGCATCCTACTGATCATATCCCCATACCCCGCCGACAGGAGCCCATCGCATTCGTCCAAAATGAAAAAGCGACAATTACTCAGAGACAGAGACCCAGATGAGAGAAGATCATCCAAGCGACCAGGAGTGGCCACCACGATATCCACCTGAAATTGGGTGAAACGCATGAGGGAAGGGAAAGCAACACAAATATGTGAACAAGCTTGCGGGACAAGAAGGACTGTAAAAACAACAGAATGTGTTGCAAAATTTTCCTAAAGATTCAAGTAACTCAAAGGAGACAGGATACGGCATTTCAGTGGTAAACATCATCAAGGAACACGTTAACACGGAATTAAAGCCAAACAAGAGTAATCACAACGAAAGCAGCCAAGATCCGTATATGTATAGAACCAGATTGGGCGATGGAGAACAGTGATGCCTTTGCTGTCAATTCTATGTAACAGAGCTTCCATCGAAGTGATAGGCAGAAAATGGAGACAAATCTATCAAACTCGCCTGTTGCATTTTAAGCATCCCATCTAATGGCATGCGTTCGTTGCAGTTAGGTCCAGGAGGTTCGGTGAGAGAGCCCCATAGCGCATTGAAATAGGCCGGTGTGGTGGGTTGTGAATGAGAAACTCATCACAGCCCAAATACACCTATCACACATCGGTGTCAACATGAGTAAGTAGATGGCGAAACACACAGCTCTTGGTCATCTTCTTATCGTACGATATGAAGCAAGCTCATAAGGAGGAGCACTGATACCGCCATTAAAATAAAGGGAGCTTATACGATTGTATGCAAATCAAAATGCGCAGACAGACATTACAAGTCGTTACTACTAGAGTGAGTTAATTGGATGCTGACAGCGCTGTCTGTTAAGCCACGACAACCGACCGCGTGTGACCACATGGTTAAGAGGACTCTGGCCGTTTGGGCCAGGGTAGTTCCAAGCCTTTAGCTAGCTTCTTCTGAACACATAGCTCCGGTTCATTCAGCCGGACCGCAATTGCTTCAGCGGCTCCTAGTAATTGCTTGTGGATGTAGTTCGAGCAGAACCTTGGGACCTGGTAGATAGTTTTGAACGAATCAGTGAACTTCGTGGCGTGCCCCGTATCGGCTAGATGCGCGGTTGTTGAATAGTTGGCTGTTTTTCTGCTTCCAGTTCTAGGCCCGACCGGGTGGTGTTCCTTCATTCGGTCAGCTAGATGCCTTGTCGTACGACCAATGTATTCAGTTCCACAGGAGCATGAAAATGAGTAGATACAAATTGAGTTGGTGTGGACAGGCTTCTTATCCTTTGAGTTCAGTCTCACTAACGGGATGCTACTGAACCGGATCTGCATCTGCGCTGCTGGATAGGTACGTCTGAGTGCAAATGAAAGACAACGAGGTAGAAGTTCCGTCGCAACCTCACCCTTATATGGCAGCTATAGGAAAATTGGATTACGTTCTACGGTCAAAACTACAGGATATTTCTTCTTATGTTCCATGTTGGCTCTGATGAAGCTCTCCGGATAGCAATTACCCTTTAGCACTAAGCGAATGCATTCCAATTCCTTCGGAAGCGTTTTGTTCGAGCAGATACCTTCAGCTCGGCTCACTAGGGCATGTAGCAAGTTCCGTTTAAACCTAAGTGGCACAAAGCTGGGGAAGTTTGTGTACGGCCCATTCCACGTACTTTTCCTATAGACGCAGCGCTGTGGCGACATCGAGGGAATGAAAACGACTTCTTTAACTTCGTAGGTGAGCTTCTCTGCTGGATGGCCTTGGCTGAACGTGTTTGTTAGTTCCTCGATACTTCGAGACGATTGAAGCAAACAAAAAATGTCGTCTAGCTAACGGCAGCATAAACCGAGACTTGAGATAGCTACCTTTAGCTTTCCTGTTCCAACATGCCCATGAAGACGTCGGCGAGGAACGGGCCAAATGGGGAACCCATCGCACTGCCAGTGTAATTTGCCAATGAATAGAAACTGAACATTGAACGTGCATCTGAGTATTGGTTTCTTTAGGATCACCATGGGTATGTCAACATTAATGTGGTTTGCATCAACATACTCACAGATGTAGTTTATAGTCTCAACTAATGGTACGTTGGTGAAGAGTGAAGTAACGTCGAGGGAGCACATAGTTAGATTGGTATCCGATTAAATTAGTTCCTCGTCGGATACGCTGTCGTGCGGAATGGCCTACCAGCCGCCATAAGGTCTTGTACATATGCAAGAACATTCCGCATCAAACTTGGAAATTTCCTGGACCAGAAATCCATAATTATCTTGATTTCATCGGGTAAACCACGAAATGAAATCATTCAAAATGGACCAAGGAATAGATAATCAGTGATAAAAACGGTTACATAAAACTCAGTAATGACAAAATTGGTGTGTTTCAGTGCTTTGACGGCACACACGCCTCAAAATACATTTTCACCCATGCATGAACATGATCAATGCTGAACTAATGATATGTCCTTATTTCAGGGACAGCCTCTCGCACAATCGAGAATTATTATTATTATTATTATTATTAACCTACCGATAACTGAATAAATCAATGAAGAAGAAAAAGAACTGACACCTAAGGTTAAATGACTGTTAAGGTCAAAAGCTGTCGTTTAGTTGTTAAAGCAATTTTACACCAAAGCTATCAAGAAGCTGCCAGCTACGGCGATCTATGGAGGGCTGTAAAGCAACGCTGTGGCGAAAGATCTAGCAACCAGACTGGTGACTTATAAGTCGAGAGATCCAACTCTATCTAACAGCTCACTTACACTAGTGCAAGTAGTTAGTCTTCGCGATCGTACCAATGTCCAAAAAACGAGATGAAAAACAGCCAAGGATGATGGCCCAGATGGCTCGATCTCTATTCACTACAAGCGACAGCGCCGACTCAAGCATGGTTCTCAGTGCATAGTTACAATAAAATTCCAACAAGTCGAAACTGCAGTTCAGTGCATTTCTGGGCATGTGGAGGATTGTCTGATTTAGAAGCCGGTGGGGGGAATGCTCAAGTGATTACATCAAAATCCCCTACTCATGAACACATTAAAATTCAAATGACCCGGAACGCTTCAGGAACTTTCGGAGGAAAATCATAAGAATGACTGTATCCGTGCATAAAAGGTAAGCAAATCACGTCAGTAGGCTAGTTACAGGATTAGGATGCGAAACAGACTCAGTGTCTCATTCAAATTGCCAGTTGGAATAAGTACCTAAGGGAACCCGAATATGACAAACGGTCATTCTCCGAGTAATCAAACCACGAAGGGATGTTCTGAACAATATCAAATTTGTACCCTTGTACCTGAGAACACTATCAGATTGAACAACGGTTGGTAATGCAAACGCATCGACAGTGTGAATCGTGGTGTGGATGTAGAAAGTCCAATAAGGAACGCCCGTCCAAGTTGATAGCCGATTTCGACCTCGGAGTGCAACACCCAGTTATAAACTTGATCGACTAGATCATGGACCACCCAACCAACTTCTCATTTTTCGATCCACTCAACTGAGATGCATTTCCAAGGTGCGCCAAGGATGACCTGAGACAATGGCCAACTGCTCTTATAGTACTGACCCACTCAGTGCACAGTTAATGATGGACTTCAGGCGGACGCCGCAGCAAGATGTCGCAGATGGTATGAAGGTGGTTAGGACCGGTCGGACTCGGCAGATGACCAACTTCGAAGAAGCAGCCAAACAGGGCTTTCAAATTCGGATGCTGCTTTTGTCACCGGAATATTATCCTACGCTACTCCGTGCGGGTCTATTTCCCTCGTGTTTGCAACTTACTGTAGTATTTGTTCAAACGAACTAATATTAAGATCAGAAATGTCGTCCAACTCTGTCAACCGTTTGATTTGACTCTGTTAAATTTGCCAATAGCCACTTCTAGTTGAATATGGTCACAAAACTAAAAGCGGTTTCATAAAAATGGTCAATAAAAATTTCAGGAAGCATAGAAAGCACTGTTTTGACCAGCAAGCTGGACTCGGATACTGCCTTGCTAACGAGAAACAAATTCCGTTTATCCTATCCAGTAAAGCATGATCGGTACTATGGAAAAATGTTGACCTAGAGAACTTTATATCGAAGAGAAGCTATGCGAAGCTACAGCGATGGTATAAGAAAGTGGCTTACATCTTAAAATTGGAGATGAAATCGTTTAAATTCAATGAATATTGACAGAATTAGATCCGACTGCCCAGGAAAGGCCTAGTACCGCGAAGAAAGTTTGATCGCCTATCTTAGTGGGGAGTGGAGCAAATCGGTTGCACATAAGTCTGTTTATTTAACGGCTTCAATAAGCTACCATGTGTTGGAATGTAAACCAAAGTTTCTTTATGGTTTTCAATCTATTGTAGTTGGGATGGTTCACGCGATGCCTGACGCAGCACTGTCAGAGGTGAAAAAGTTCGTAGATCACCTTGTCTCCGAGTGGTAACCGAAGTTAAAATGTTCCAGCTGCAGCATCGCTGATGACTTCAGTAGGAGCGACAGAGTTTTTATTAAAATGCCGGGTATAACAAACTTGGTGGGATTTCCCACCAGACTCGACGCACATTAAGATTTAAACATTACCAACAAACAAAACCTGTTTTCCACACAAAGACACGTCCCCCTTTTGGCAATTCGGACCATTGTATCGTGAAGTTATCCTCCAAGACCTACTGTAAGGCCAACTAGGTTTCGAATACAGGAAGGTCATTCAGAACTGCTACACGGCGGAACTGATCGACGGAGAACATTGTAAAGCCCATATAGACGCTCCATTCAACTGACTTCTCAATTTTCTCCAATGAGGACCTGTCAGCTCAACGCGAGCACTTCAAAGATTATAATAATATCTGTTACAATCTGTATTGCCCCACTGAGACTAACTACATGCGTAGAAAAGAGAACAGGCCCATACAAATATGCTAACGGCTCGTGTCAAATGTTTGTCCGTGGCTATAACAGCCGAGATAAGAAGGTCAAAGAGCCTATACACTGAAATCGTTTCAGGAAGCCACCGTTGCCTTGATCTGTGCAGGCTCTAGAAGCAACTCATCGGCAAAAATCTTAATAGCCTACTAGGTATTGTGGAGGTGGACAAGCTCAACGCAGAGTGTAACTCCTTGTAACCGAACACATTCACCCTACTATCCTTCCCCATCGAT